ATCTACTATTACCTTCATTGAATACCTAATTCACTTTTTTGGGGAGGGAGGGGGACTTTCAATCTAATGTATTATTAGTTGTTGTTTTTTTGATCTTTGTTAAAAAACACAAAGAACTATTTAAGACAAAAATCACTTATTTAAACGATGATATGATATCCTGTTTTCAATATTCGTTGTGAAAGAAATAATTACAGAGGTTTTATTATGACTGATCGTGGTGAACCTAATTACATTAAAACTAAATATTAATAAAAATAAGAGGGGGAAGTAAGTTCCACTGTCACACGGCGTACGTTATGTTGAGTTATACGATTTAAACAGATCTAACGAACTTTTTTAAGTTCGGATGACAGAGCCAATCATGTAAAATAAGCAAACATTATGCTTCACAAAATCTTATGGATGGAATACGGCAGTTTTGGCAGCTATTTCGTAATGTCATTAAAAGGAAATAACCGGTGATCAAGCCAAGATTGAAAATAAAACAAAAAACGAAATATAAAAAAGTTTGCTTATAACACATAAGCTCACGAAAAAACACTTGATCAACTAAGGGAAAACCCATGACGTATTTGCAAGTGAAAGCCACGAGTTCTGAGCAAATAAAAATGTATATAAGTTACGTACGGTAAACCAATCAGTGAATACCTGAGAAGATTTTAGAGGTATATATAAGCCTCTGAAATCCACAACGAACAATTTAACTCAAAGTATTCTTCTATACGAAATAGGTAAGAAACCACTTATTCCTATTTCTCGCTAGTATTCTATTAATCACATCGATAGGAGTGCTCTTACTTAACTTACAAGATGTTTATATGAATTTATTCTTATGCATATTTTTTCGATAACTACGATTATGTATGTTTGAAAATACGAGTTGTAGACTGTTTACACTGAAACATACTTACATATTTTAGCTTATTCATATATATATTCAATGTTTGTGAAATGAGTCTGATTCCATAAAAGTTTGGGCAATTTGATGAGGACTGTTTTTGTAATTATTTTTGACATAATATACAGTTATTATGTTTTCCATCAAGTACAACTAGAACTTTTGTTTTTTCGATGTTTATTTTTTTTAAATAGGTGTTAATTTTTCATATTTAGTTTTATGTAGGTAGCTTAAAATCGACGTCTTTCAGAGTTTTCGTTTTTAATAATGTAATGAGTACACTAATATACCGTGTATTCTCTGCACACTAATTGTTCTCATGGGAGTAATAACAGCTGCAAAACATAGGCTTACGTTTCATCATCCAACGAAGGCAAAAAATTAAGACGTCAAATGGAAGTTCCAAATTTCTTGTTTTTAAAGTATATTTTGTCGTTATTGTTACAAAAGTAACTAAAGCGTAAAACTTAGGAACGTATTAGGATGGATCAGCTAAGATAATGAAAAAATAGTAAGAATTATACAGGAATCCGTATAGAAAGGGTTAAAAATATCGCGAGCACAGTGAGTGACTCAGGAAAGTTAATGTAAAGTAACTGAATAATCATTTCCGGTATTTAGTTGTTTTTTTATCGGGGTGTTTTGTCGGTGTTTATCAGCTAAACCCTAAGTATAACAAACAAAAGAAATGCAGATTTCCATAAGAAAACTAGTGCAGGTTTTAGATATATTTTCTCACTCGTTCTGAAAGAGAGATTGAGGGAATTCACTATATATAAGCTTGCAGAAAATTACGCTATCAGCAATAATATCCAACTGATGAATGAATGCATACCTAATAATTATAAGATTTTGTTTTATGAAACCCCTAGTTAACCAGAAGAATCTCTGATTTAATGTACTAATTAATATCGTATCTTTTCTGTATTAATTACTGGATTAATGTTTTAGTTCTGATCTTTGTAGGTAGCTTCCTTTGATAAGTTAAATATAACTGACTTAGCTGGGCTGACTTATAAGAGCTTTTTTTTTGTCTGTTTTTTTAATTAATTGAAACGTTAACTTATAAAAAAGCAAACTTAACTTTTAAAATTAAAACAATTTTATTTCCTTGTTCTTCTCTTACAGTTGCATTCGTCTTAAACATGAAGAAGGTCATGGAAATACTCTGCTTAGTTGTCTTAGCAATAGTTTATGTTAGGAGTGACCATGAAGGTATTCAAAGTCGTCATGGCATTTGGAACAATAGAAAAGTGCCTTACAGAGGAGCTGGAAATTTCGAAAGTGGTTTAGGATACGGTGGTGATCAAAACATTGGTGGAAATTTCCACAGAGGTCAAGGTGGCGGTAGAGATTATGATCACGATCAGTCTGGTGGTGTGGGGAATGGACCTTACAACGGTTATGAAGACAGTAGTTACAGTAATAATGGTGGACTGGGTGGTTTAGGCGGTTGTGATGGAGATTACAACAATGGTCCTCCATATGTTGAATCGCTTTCTTACGCAAAACCACGACCACTTCGACGGTGTACATACTACTGTCGGCTTAATTATTGCGATTCCTACAAATGTTATTATATCTGCCGACCAAAGTGTGCTTGTTCGTTCGTAAACGCTGGCAGTGTTGAGACTTATGGTCGTAAAGGTAAAATATATATATAAAATTACAAACAATATAGCTTTATGACACGATTAATAGCTGCAACTGTGAATGACCAAACGAATGACAATAATTATAATTTCGGTAAAGAAATGCTGGAAATTATTATTTTTATCTGACGTTGCTATGGTATACAATAATAATTTTAATAAACTCAATGAAGTAACAAAAAACGTATAATCTATGTACCTAAATCCGTTTTATTCCCATGTTATCACAAAATTTTACCTACTCATCATTCAAATTGATTGACGTAAAGTAAAGAAAATCTAAACTTTGTTAATAATATCAATTTATATTTTTAAGTTTATGATATTTTATTTTCTGTATAATTAAAATCAAGTTTTTCACCAAAGCAAATAAAGGGCAAGAGAAATAATTAATACTGTGTTTAAGCAGGAGGAAAGACTTTTGAAATAAGCAAGCCATTGAAGGAGAGAGTTGAAGGATTCGACTACGTACCACCAGGTGAAGAATCTTTACCCAACGAAGGAGGTTTGTATTCTAATTCCGTGTATAAGTTTAAAGAGACTTGAAAGTGAACAGTTTACTTAGTTGGACATGAAGTGAAAACATTCTGAATAGGGTCATTTCTTGAAATAAATTAGAAAGTACAACTTATGAAATTAGTAAACTTAACATTATTATAGAAAAAAGATGTTAAACAAATCAAACTGGATATGTAAAGTTTAAGGTAGTTTCGAAATAATTTATTTTAAGTAAACAGAAAATTAACATAAACATGTGTGAAAAGAAAAAGATTGTATTGAAGTTCATATTTTATATGGGTTTTAGATAACATAATAATAGCAAGTATAATTGCTTTGTGCTTAAAATATAAATCTAGTAGAAGTAGCCATTTCATTGTTTTTTTACCAGTGACTTTCAGTCTATGCATTGAAATCATTTTTAAGAATGAAAATCGTTGAATAATAAGTGAACAAAGGCTGAAATAGAAAATATTTAATGTTGCTACGAGGAATTAATAGTCAATAAATATCAACTATTAGAGAATAACGTTGATATTTTTACATTTTTATAGCAATAAAGTATGAGGACGACTGAGCTGGAAATAAAGACAACGTGCGACATCTCAAGTATTAATAACCAGTACGAATGTATAATATCATTAACCTTTTTTGTCATTTCATTAAAAGACTCTTCCTTCTGGTCATTTATTGTGTTTATTTTTTTATTTATACACATGAATATTAACAACGATTGTTGATTATTGGAAAATAAATTTCAATCAACACGTTGTTGCTTAGCGCAAAGCTACACAATGGGTTATCTGCACGTTGTCAATCAAGGGAATCGAACCATGAATTTTAGCGTTGTAAATCCATAAATTTACCGCTGACTTACGGGGGAAATTTATATGACTGAAGGTGCGTGTGCTGCTTTGTTAAGTTATTAACTTCACTCTGAGTTTTTTAATGCTAAATACGTGTTACTTCAATATAAAATGTATCTATTCACTGAAGAAACATTCTAGATTATCTGATAATTTAGGTTGTAGAGCACCTAACCATTCAAAAACTTTTGCTGTTGATAAAGTGCTTTTATGCATTTTATTCTGTAATCAATGACATTGAAACACTGGAAATGAAAGAAAATTCGATTGTCTTGACAGTAATATTAATAACACACGATCATGGTTTGATTTGGCTATACTATCGTATACTATAGTATATGGTTGTGTAGTTAATTAATTAATCATGAATTCTTCAAACAGTCACAGTAGTTTTATAATTATATGATCTAATCATTTTAATTGCAATATGGCCTTTTTTTTGTTGTTGTTATTATGGTCAATTGCAGAAACCAAGTAGTTTCTAAGTAATATTAATAACACACGATCATGGTTTGATTTGGCTATACTATCGTATATGGTTGTGTAGTTAATTAATTAATTATGAATTCTTCAAACAGTCACAGTAGTTTTATAATTACATGATTTAATCATTTTAATTGCAATATGGCCTATTTTTTGTTATTATGGTCAATTGCAGAAACTAAGTAGTTTGATCATTTATCTAAATTGATGTTTATAGGAGTAATGATAACAGATTTTTGTAGATGGGATTTTAATAATGTTATCATATTTTTGCAATAATGGATTACCAGGATTATCTATGGCTTAGAAATTAAAGAATTGATAAGAAGGTCAAGTGTGTTTTTCTCAACAAAATATATGGCGTCCTTGCACTTTCTTGTATAAAGGGAATGTTTCTGAATAGACTTACAGGATCAACATGATTGTACAGCATGTGAAATGATCATACCTTGTGCTAATACCTACGTAATCTTTAATCGTTTTTTGACAAACCAAGTTTAAAAAAAAGACAATTTGATTGAGTGCCGACTTAATAACTCAGTTTGAAAAAATACAACAAAAACAAAGTCTCTATTATTGTGAATAGTAAATTAATTTTGTTTATCAATAATCATACGATTTAATTTTATAACGTTATATAAAAAGTGCTATGTGTAGTAGCAGTTATCTCTGTCTAAATTCCTTTAGGAAATTAGACTTGTATTTTAATAATGGAAAATTCTAGAAGAATAGGAATATAATTATTAGTATTCTTAGTTTAAAGGTTAGGAATAAACCCGACTGCTAAATATTTAGTATAAGTTTGTCTCAGGTTATTCTGATAAAGCGAATGAGAAGAAAAACAAAAATTAAAAAGGAATATAGAACCAACTTAAGAAGATAGTGGTTCATAATAAAAAATGCCACTTCATAAGAATCACAACACAAAAATGTAAAATCGCACGTACTTTTTATTGTTAGAAAACACAAAACTCATGTTTTATATCGCTACAACAATTAGATGTGTTGCGGTCCACATACGTCTGAGTGTGAGGTACAATCAGTGTTGTTGTGAAATAACACAATGTTTGTGTTAACTTATAACAAAACTTTTTTGACAATGTACAGATGTGACTTATAGGGGTAGTTGAATGAAAAGTTTTGCATGGTCCCTCGGTGGTTCATAATAAGGATCACAAGGAATTGCACAAAAAGCATCTTTAAACAGTAAAGGTTTAATTCAAACAACACTTTAAAACCTTTACTATTGACTGCTAAGGCTGTACACACATAAAATGCACAAAAAAGCGTGCATGTTAGACATACAAGGAAAAGAAAATCCACTCAAAACGGTCCGTTTGTAATTCTTTTTTGTTCTTTTTATTATTCTCTTGCCAGCCTACAACAAAAACAGCTTGGTATATTGTACCCAAATCTTTTGTAGAATACTAAATAATGTACTGCGAAGATCGTAGGGGTATTGAAAAGTCGATTTTTATCTTCTATATTTTATATAAGCTAAAAACACCATAATTATAGTGTAAACGATGTTATCATTATCCCTTGAATATCTGGTATTCCTTTAAAAAGCTTAAGTACATGGTGAAACAGGAATTACCAGCCAATAAGAGATGAACATTAGATGACTGTAACGAGTGGATAGATACTCAATGTCTTGAACACTACACAATTGGCGTCTTTAGGGAGCCAATCTCTACATTATGTATGAAGTGAAAGAGTAAAAAAATCAATACACATAATATTAAATTTTATTACACACATTCGTAGAATAATTACTATAAGAGACACAAAGGTTTATTTAAAGCGATGTTTTAGGTTTTTATATTTCATTTGAAAAAACTACTTTTCTACTGGTAAAATTTTATGCACGCTTAGTCGGGGTTGTGTCTTAGTCTAGGCATATATTTGCTCATCGCTATGTATTATTTATGGTGAATTTAGTTATAAATGCTCATTATATTCTCAAAGAAATCTTCATGGCAATATCCAGCTGCAGCTTAACATTTTACATCTCGAACTAATGCGATCAAATAGTCAATAGTTACAGTAAACCATCATGTACCGTATCAGCTAGCTACTAGCTATGTTTATTATTATTACATTGTATAAAATTAACTACTGTATCAAGTAATCCTTTGCCCATAGTTGAGCATAAGAAAAGCCAGCAATCAAGCTAAATAAAAAGTGGGAATTTAAAAACCTTCAAATGTGGATCGTAAAAAAGTAAGGAAACAAGGCTGGAGATACTCAAACTACAAATCCCTATTTTGGCTCCGCCAATTCTAATTCTGGGTAACAGCATGGAGCCAAAATAGGGGTTTGTAGTTTGAGCAGTGGCATATTCAACGTCGGTGCAATCGGGGCAACGCTACGACGGGCTCCATAAGTATTACAAAAAACTTATATATTTCTATACCTATAGCTGATCAGTATGGACGGGTCCCCTAATAAAATTGCATCAAGTAGTTTGAAATGTTAAAAACACCTTTGAGTTTGAGTAAATAATGTTTACAGTATCTCCGGCCTTGTTACCTTACTTTTTAATGGTCCCTATTTGCAGGTTTTTAAATTTATTTATCTTGTTATATATATATATATAGGCTACATAACATTCAAAACGTCAGACTAAACTATTTATGTTCTTATTTTGCTAGTCCACAATACTTTTTTGGTTTCTAACTTGAACTGTGTTAAAACCATTAAAGCACCACAGAACACAAATTAAATTGTTTTAGCACATTTTTGATTTTTTCGATGTTTTTGTGCAGAAGAAACAAAGAAAACTGCGTAAAATTATTAAAGGATAAATCGCTTTAAGAAGACAATAAGTTAATGCAAATGTTTATAATATTTAGAAACTGAAACATTAAAGGATTGAAGGGTAAAAAACTTCACCGTAAACATTATAGGTCAGCAAAAAGCATGATATAGAAATTGAAATAACAATAATATCATCACCTGGTGAGATAATGGTAATTGTGAGGATTTACATCGCCAAAATGAGGGGTTCGATTTTCCTGCTGTGGACACAATAAATAATGTGACTTTGCTCTAAGATAAAACAAACAAACAACAACAAAAAAACACTAATATTCCATTCTTATATAACATCCAACACTAGAAGATATAAATTAATATTATATGTTATACAACTTTTATTTTTGAATGAATGCGATATAATATTTCGCTTTATCGGACGAGGACTTTCTTTAATTTAAAGCATTTTTGACACATTTGTTTTAGCTAAAGTGAGGCTCTCCATTTCAGTATTTTCATATATTACATTCGAAGTACACTAATTAAAATAATTATCTGTGACATACAACAAAACTATCCTTTCTATCTTAACCAGGAATGAACGTAATAAAATGCGACGTTTGTAAAGCAAATTATAAGAAGCGTAAAAGGTTTATTCATATCAGTTATATTTATATTCACAAATTAATGTATTTAACTTATGGGTTAAATAAATAAAATTCAAGAATATAAGACAGAATCTTGAAATCAATAAATATAAAAATACATAAAGTACAATATGTAATGAATAAAGAATGACAATAATTTTCAATCTTCATGACCTTACAACACTCTTTCATTATATTCACATGTTAACATATTTAGACATTTAACTTATACGGTAAAAATATAACATGAATATTTATTTTTTTTAATGTAAATGTGTAATTGGCTGTCTGCACTGTGTCCAAAACAGGGATTGAACCCCGAATTTTAGCCTTATAAACGGTCAAGCTTACACCTGAACTATGAAAGGACTTGAGGACGTATGCATGTTTGTTTGTTTGTAGAATGTTACACAAAGTTATTCGAGGACTATCTGCGCTAGCCGTTCCTAATTTAGAAATGATAGACTAGAGGTCAACATAACCCACTGCCAACTCTTGGGCTGTTCTTTACCAACGAATAGTGGGATTGACCATCACATTGTTTTCGAATGTCTTATCACCAGTAGAAATATATGTGCAGAAGATACACTAAATTAAATGAATACATAATAATCAATACATAATGAAAACTAAAATATATCCATCCTTTTATTATATATTTTCCTCATATTCACATGCAATTTAATATGAAATTCGTCAGTATTAAATGATAAATTTGAATGAAGTATCTGCCGCAGATTTTGTGACGCGAAACACTTTTAAAGTATTTCAGAATTTAGGACTAACGTAAATATCTTAAACTGCTTGAACCTCATGAGATTATAGCCAAAAATACCGATAACAACAAGAGTATCCATCTAATGAATCAGTACGTTCTAATCATTACAGGTTTTTGTTTTAGGACTTTACATACACCTAATTAGAATGGTATATTA